CAAACCCTGATCCATTCCTTGGGCAGACTGACCATGTGTGAGTGGCCTGCAGGTCCCATAGAAGCTGAATTACAGAGCCTTTATTATAAGGTTTGCAATTAAAGGAGAACCTCCGTATTCTTACTGCTCTGTTTTACCATAACTAGTAGTGCCTAATACCAAATCTTGTGCTTTTCTCCTTAAAAAGCAGTTTAGAAAGCCCTAAATGATGACAAAGCTTCTAATTTTTTTCCTCCCAAGTAAAAAAAGTGTTTTGTTTTTCTCACAATAAAATCAGTTTGATTCATAACCCTAAACTGTCAGTGCCCGATGAGTCCAATGTGTGCTTTTTCCAAGATACAGAGTGAAAATAGTGATCTTCTCTGACTGCTCTGGTCTCCAGCAGGACCAATGAAAAGACTGAACTAGCTCAATACAGAACATCCAACCAAGATGTAATTGTAAGGAGGGAGGAGTTGCACTTTTCTAAGGACTATTCTTGGGCCAAATTCTAAGATATTTTGCAAATGTTGGGAAAGCAGCACACCTGAAAGCTAGAAGGTCAGTCTTTCTGGCGAGTACTGGCTTCTTACCACTGTGCCATCATGAAGCAACTTATAAATAGTGTGATCAAATTTGCCTCTAGCACAAGCAGTCATTAGCATGGCCAAGGAGGTTACATGACACTGGGTGGCATATTGGCCATTCACAGGACAGAATCATTACTCTGAAAAAGACACACAAGCACACATCTATCTGTTACTTGAAAGACGGAAAAGATTTTCCTTGTCCATCCTAGATTTTGCACTTGTACTTGTCTGGAAGACGTGTGTATTGTACACTCACTTGAAAGCAACCCATGCTTAGATGTGGAGACAAAAACACATACTGGTTACCATTACACGCCTTTCCCAGTGCTGGTAGACACAAGGTTCTGGAATGCCATCAAGTCCTGCAGTGTTACTGTGTGGTTACTCCATTCCCAGTTGATCTGACTGACCTCAAGTGCTGGGGCCTGTCTTGAGCAGTCTCTCCTCATGAGGAAAACTGTAGCATGAGGCCATGCTGCAGGTCTGGAAACCCCTCCATGCCCAAGCAGAGTGCGGGACAGACTACCTCAGCATAACCATTTCCCTTATCTGCTCTTGCCCTTGGGGTGTGCAGCTCAGAAAGTATTCCTTCCCTCACATGCACTGTAACTCTGGAGTCCTATTCTAAAATTTCAGAGGCAGAACTTGCTATTGGGATTCCACTTTTTGGCTGCTTGGATTGGCAGAGATCCACCAGCCCAGTTTCCAGAGCCTTGACGCACTTTGTCCATGACAGCTCTCAGCACAAACATCTCTTCTATGAGTGTAGTAGTGTCAATTTAGAGACACTAAAGTGGATTTTTATTCTCTCCCCTACGTATGTCTGGAAGGATTTTTCCTCTAGAATTTGTCGCTTTGTGTTACTGTCCTTTAGGTGGCACTGTTACCACTTCCAAGAGGAATCATTGCTGGATACTTTGCTGAACAGGACTGAAACTGGGCCAGGACTGTCACTATCACTGGGCTAATAGGCCAGAACCAGTCGGGACCGATTCAAATCGGGGGTGAGCCCTTCGAGACATTTGCTCTAAAAAGTCATCATGGTATCTGCTTTGTAGTATCACTTCAGCTCCTGACAGTGAGGAGACTGTTCACTTCGGAGAACCCCTCACAGCACAAGGGTTGTATTGGAATGATGAACATCTGACATTAAGGATAAACTTAATTTACTCACTTTCAAAATAAACTTGAAGCAGTTCCCAAACTCAACAAGAGTCATGTGTGCATATATGAAGGTCTTAAACTAATACATCTGCTAATTAAATAATAATTAAAAGCCATGCTCTCTACCAGCACTGCAATCACTGTTTTTCATAACTAGGTAAATGCTTATGTCAGAACCACTGCTTTAATTTTTTTGTGTCTACTGCCTCAGTTATCACCTGCTTAGGTTGCCTAGTCTCTTCCCGAAGACAGTAAATTGGTTTAGCTGGCATTTAATGGGTCTGTATTAAATATTGCTACATGTTGTGCACTCCTTGATGCCAATCAAACGAATCTTGCCAATTAAGAATATTTTCTATTAAGAAAGAGAGATGATTCCAGGATATTATTCAGCAGTAGTCTGAAACAGCCAGACAACAAATCCAAAAAAAACTCAAAGAAAATGGTCATGTAATCTGAAGGTTGCTACAGCAAGTGCCTAAAATTGGAAAGTGCTCAAAGAAGCAGCTAGTGTGGTAAAACACTCTTTATTACATACTGACACTCTCTTTCTTCAGCTAAACATGTCTGTTGGACCACTAGCATTGGAGCTTTCCCCAGCTCTGGAGTGGGAACAGAAATGGTGTGAGCAGGACAAGAGAGCCACAGGTATGGGCAGACTCCTACCTGCATGCAAAACACTGGTCCTTGGGCGTTTTTAAGATTCAGTCCTGATCTCACTGCCAAATCAGAGAAAAATCTATGTTTTGGACATTATTATGGTGTGGGGTAAGGAGAGAGAGAGAGATACACTATAATTTGAACACAGGAGACTAAAAGCCTAAAAGAGGTTCCCTAGTACCAAAATAGGATTGGGTCCTCTGCTAAACAGAGTGAAACTGCCAGCTTGACAAATCAACCACAAACTTCTCTGGATTGAGGCCACACCTTTTTCCTAAATGAGTATTTTTCCTTTGCCAAACTGCAGTTCCACTCAGATCTCAACCATTTTGCCTGCAGGCTTCTCAGGAACACACACAATTGTTATTATTTTTATAGTGTAAGAAGTTTTTTTTCCCATGCTGCCCTAACTCAAAGCCAGCCATCACACCTTTGCTTAAGCTTTCAAACAATAATGCCATCTCAGAAAATGTCTACAGATTGTATTTCCCAATGACACTCTAAAACTTGGGAGTCTGTGTCTATGGTGCAAGACAGCCAACTGTCCAGTTACACAACTGCTTGAGTAGTCCCAGATTGTCCCATTACATGTAGGCTCTCAACCTCAGCAGCAGCCCCAGGCCTCCCTGGAAGTCTCAGATGAGGCAGGTAAGCACCTCAAGCAGAAACTCAGGTCTTCGGTGCTTTAAATAATCTCGAAGTGCTCACCTGCCTACATGCACTAAAAATGGAGGCTAAAGCAGCCACACTGTTAATTTAGGTACCACATCTGGGTGCCTAATAGAGAACTGCTGGGCTCACGGTGCTTGTACATCTCACCCAGGGAAGTCTGTGCTGTCTCTGCCTGGGAGAGGTCTGAAATTCCACAGGTGTATTATTTTTCACCTCCAGGCACTCAGAGAGGCATTACTGCAATTCCCAGCTGACCTGACAGTATAAAGTACAAAGGAGTTGGGAACACGAGGCACAGGTACGCTTGACCAGGAAAGATCCCTAAGTTGTTCAATTCAGGAGGCATTCTCAGGACAGATACAACATGCACCAAGAGAATGAGAGTCATCTCAAAGCTCAGTTGCAGCAGCTGTTCTCATTTAAAGCATATCCAGAGGAGATGAAGAAGATATGCCCAAGCTTCCAGAATTCCTTTAGCAAACTGTGAATGAGGCATGTGATGAAAAATCTCTCCCTAGTGGGCAATGCATAGACAAAGATGAGCAGACAGTGCTCTGCCCTTTTCTGTTTTCCTCTGATTTAAACAAAGATTAATATTCTGCAGTCAGCTAAAAAAAAAAATAAATAAAAAAAGCTTAGAAATGCCCAACAAGCCCAGAAATGTCAAGCCTAAAGAAAAATGGAGAGGGAAGATCTCCTGGGAAGTTATTTAAAATATTTAGGACATTTTAAAAGTTCCATGATTTTTTTTCAGTTGAGTGAAGCTCCCCCTGGCAAGATCAGCTCCTGCTTAGGGAACAGTGTGAACTGTGGTTGTTTGTTCAAAGGTAACCTTTCCCACAAATATAAAAAAAAAAACCAAACTAACTAAAGTTTTTCAGAAATTGTAAAGATTGATTGAATCTGAGTTTCGTTTTCTTGGTTTTCTTTCTCCCATTTAACACTGAAAATTTATTCTTGTCTCTTCCAAAAGTAGACAAAAAGGCAATCAAGGATATTATCTGAACCTTGATTCCTACTGCTGGTGATTGTCTCAGTTTTACAAAGTAGATGGGACACCAGCTTAACCTGGGATGGTATAAAATACATGGGCATCGTGTGAACCAGGCCTGGACCTTAGAGCCCAGTTACGTTTCCCACTAAACAGCTTTTGAAACAAGCAAGACCTACAAGTCTTTCACGGTTACATTTGTCATCTTAAAATGTATTCATTTTGACTTGAGTTTAGTGAGTAAATAAGCTTTGGTAAATACCAACAACATTTTCTTTATGTTCTCTATACCTAAGGAGAGTGATCTTCAAAATGCTGAGATGTTATTCTAACATCTCCAGGAACTGGCAGCTCTGTAACAGAGACACTCTGCCTGATCCAAGGTGAACAGGAAGAGTAGGTAAGTATTGAGAGAAATCAAACTGTTTCCTTCATCTAACACCTTTGGTTGACTAAATGCATGGATTGTTTTTGCATTTGCTCACAAGTGTCGATATCTCAGTTACACTTTCTATTCCAGCTGTACCAGTCAGAGCGTGCGACTTCACTCTTAAAAACATCCTGAGGCCCCTCCATGCTTGTGACAAATGTTTCAGTCAAAATTCTTCCTTTTCCGAGTTCCTGAACTTTTAATTTCAAATATATGGAATCAAATTATTCTACCTAAACAACTGGATGACATCTGCACTCAAGACATGATACTCTGGCCACCCAAACCCCAAGCTTGGTGACTTGACAGAGGTGCCAGATTCCCCTTGCCTTTGCAGATTTCCCTTCCATGATTCTATGAAATTTTAAGTCCCTTTTCATAATAACCATTACAAAGAAATTACATGCTTTGGTTCCAAGAACAAATTTTCAGTGACTGTGGAATAACTTTGGGCAAGTGACAGATGTTAAGGCAAACTATCATTTCAATGGTAAGAAGTACCCATTGCACTTACCTGCCTGAAAAAGTACTGTGTTGTTATAGCAAAGACATCAAAGCCACAGCTGGCCCTTTTAAGCTCATCTTGAATATTGATTAGTTGCCGGGACTGTTCATCACATTTTTCCTTCAATCTCTGAATGAACTGCTTTTCAGTGTCTCGACCCTCTCCTGGTTTGGGAGATAATCCATTCTTTGGGGTGGTTGGCCTTTGCTTGGGATGTCCTATAAAGAAGAGAAGAAAAGACCATTCAGGTCACTTACTTTATATGCACAGACATAACATGTATGTGTTTCTCAGGCCTTTGGGACTCACCCCTACAAAAGAAAAAAAAAAGTCTGCAGCAGTCACACAGTACTTTAAGACTTTCAAAAAAGCAAGAGCACAGTGGTTTTAGGGGTCAAAGCTCAAAGCTTTTTAACAGTCATCTCACCTCAGGCTCTGAGCCTGAAGGTCTTGTATAAAGTGGGGAGAGATGCCTTAAAAGTGTATCACTGAGAACTGAGGTTGTTAGAGGAAAGAATCACTTCACCTGTGTTAGACATCTAAAACAAGAGGTCTGCATCTTGATCTGCAGTGCTGGATTTTCTTACATGGCAGCGAGAGAAATGGGCATTTCCAGGTCAAGATTCCCCTTATCTTATTGCAGATGTGGAAAACAGCTATGTGACATTTATACTCTACACATGATTTCTTTGTCCACCTGAACCCCGTGCTTGGTGACTTGACAGAGGTGCCAGTTTTTGTTTGCCTTTGCCTCCAAATAGGACCATGAGGGACTGGAGTTGTCCCTCCCTGAATGCAAACACAGCATGGGTTGCTTGCTATTGGGATATCACAGTTTCTTTTTATCAACAATACTGCAGTCTATCTTGACAGTTCCCCTTTTTCTCACCCTTACAACACATCTAAAGTTGCAGTATTTAACAGGTATGTACAGAAGTGCTACCAGGTATTGTAATGCTGATGAGTTACATCACTGGCTCTGCATGGCTGCTCTCTTTGCATCATTTGTCACACCAGAATCACTGTATGGTTTACCTGAAGAAATAGGTCCAGACTCTGGCTCCTCTGATGTGCTCCAAGTCGGCTTGAAGCAAGCCTAATCCTGTACAAAGGTGTGAAAGCACTAGTGTAGCCTGTGTTTAGGATATCAGCTTGAATACAGTGCCATATTCACATGAATTGCACAAAGAACTAAAGCTTACTCATGATAAGCCACTGAAGGGCAGTGAGGCTTTTTTCCCAAGTTCATATCCTGCTTGAGTCAGCTATCAATTTCTCTGGACATACTCAGTTATGAGGATGAAGCAAGAAGGGGCAGTGTCCTGCGAGTGTCAGGCTGCTCAAGCCAGCACTTGGACAATCTGTTTTGTCTTTACCTTTCTAGCTTTCTGAGAACTCTCCTCTGCAAACATTTATGTCCAGCTGGACATCATCTTTGCACAGCTTACTGATTTTTTTTTTTTTGCTACTTTCAGTCTCTCCTCAGTTGATATGCTCTTTAACTCATTCCTGAATACTGGCCAGGAATCTCTTCCTCTCTTCCACAGATCCTCCCAGTTAGTGTCCAGCTCTTAGCCTAGGAGCCTAAGTCAGTAAGAAAGGGGGAGAAAATAAGAGTCAGACACCTTAGTCCCATTTGTTATTAGAGATGATGGGCATGTGTCTGGAATATTTCTGTATTAGAAGAATGGGTCAGGTATGCAAGAATATGAAAAAAAAAGGGACAGTTTGTAGTTTTACAGTCTTACATTATACAGTTCCTGAAAAACAATACAGAAACAATGTCTCCAACCAGTCTCCAGCAATGAATGTAATAGGTGACAGTCTTCTGCTGTGAATACTACCTACCACTTTCCTAAAAATTCGAAGAATCCTTCCACAAAGATGTCTCTGATGGTATGATTCTGAGCCAATTTGTAAAGTGGAGTATTGTTCCAGAGGTATTTTTTCAGATGTGTTTTAGATCTTTTAGATCTCTAAGACCATGGCCTAGGTGTGCAAATGGATCCTTAGGACAATTTTACTAGATCAGGCAGGGAAACAGTATGGGTTTGACAGTGTACTACCCCAGAAACTTAATCCTATTTTTTCGGATCCCCAGCTTGTGTGGAGCTATTGGGAGCATATCTTCCAACTTGCCCAACTATGTCCTGGCTCCAGGCTAAGCTTACAGGGATCTACCTCCAGCAGAGATGCTCCCTCATGTCTCCAAGTATCTCATGGTACAACTGCAAAGAGCCACAAGTGCAAAACAAACTTTGAAACTCTCTGTGTCCATGACGTGAATTTGCAAAAAAAGAATACCAGATTTCGCAACATGCCAAGACTACTGTCGTGTTGTTGCAAGACCTAAATAATACAATACAAGGAGTTTCTGTCATTAGGAGAGTTCAGCCAGAGAGTTCAACTATTGCCCTTTATCTATTTTTTTGTCAGTTAAAGCCTGTAAATATTTTTTTGTAGGAATGGTATCTCCTTACAGATTCTTCTGTTCATGTCAAAGGGCTCTTAACTGGGCAGTAGGTAATATCACAAAATAAGAAATTCATAAAACCAACACCTATAAATATCTGTCTTTTTAGATTAAAAATCTTGGGTTGTTTGAGCAGCACAGTGATGTTACAACAGAAGGCTTAGGGAGAAGTGTAGGGGAAAGCCCTTGAAATCAGTCTAGTTTTAATTAAAACAGAAACCTATCAGCTTGTTTTGTCTTATATTTTTCTAGCCTTCCCGTTCACTGGAAGATTTGAAATGCACATTTCTGTGTTGTCCTTGTCAGTATTATAAGCTGTCCTTGTAAATTAAACAGTGCTATTCTCCTCGGGGATAATTCTGAATTTCTCGGTTCATTTGGGTCTGAAAGGCAGCTTACTAAGCTTATTCTGCCATTGATGTCTCTCTTCTGTTGCTCTGCACAAAACAGGGTATATATTAATGATGCTGGCCCTGATCCTGAATGTCCTTTTTGCTGATGGTGGGACCAGGGGGCCAGACCCAGTGTACGCTGAAATCACTGAACTCCTTTGATCTGTTTCAAAACTCCCAAGTCTTTTTTATCTACCTGAGTGTTTGAAACAAGGAGACATAACAAGTCTATACTCATAATTAATACAGTCCATGAGGATATAGATAGGGAATGCAATTTATTTGCCTTTAAACTGTTCAATTTCTGACATTTTGGTAAGGAAAATGGGCAAATTACTTTGAAACGATATCAAGCAGCCTGTACAATGACAGATGTCAGAAATGGATGGCACTGTCCTAAAATGGAGTTGAAGGAGAGCACTTGCATCTATGGACACCTGCTCCTAGACAAAGATTTCAGGGATGGTAATGTATCAATAGATAAAATTGAGATCCCTACAAGACTCTGCATCTCAAAACTCCCTTGAAAGTCTTCAGAAGGACTGGTCCAAATCCTAAAGGTGAGATTCGAGGTTAAAAGGAAATGTGTACGACAGTCAAAAACCAGCACTGATTAAAAGGAACTGAATGTGAGGACACTAGTAACAGAGGGAAAACAACCTAAAAGCAGCACTCAGAAATTTTAGAGCCTGCTCATGGCCAGGTGTAGCTGTGGTGGAGTTACCTGTGAGACACATGCTCTCTCATCAAAAAGTGTAAATGATGAAGGAGTTCATGATCCCGATGGAGGAAAGACTGTGTTACTGCCCCTTGGCACCAGCTACACTCACTCTGTTCAATGGCTGCTTAGACTATTTTTGAAATTGTTAAGTAGGTGAAAAAAAGTGTCTGTCTTTATTGCTTTGTTATTGCTGTTGTTATTTTAAAGAATGCCAAAAGCTACTCTAAAGAAAGTTAGTGAAGATGAGGTTTATTTTCCTACTTGATCCTTATAGTGATAAACAACTTTAGATTCTCCTAATTTCAGACACTCAAGCTGAACAAATTCCAAATCAGTCTGATGGACAGAGGTCAACCTTTGGACTCAACCTCTCACAAGACTGAAGAAACCTTTGAGTCCTCATGAATTGGACACGTCAAAAATTTAAGCCTTGAAAATCATTAAGTCACCCGTGGAAATGCAGGTCTCCTTGACAGGACAAATATACACTCCAAATATGCCAGTCTTCCACTTTGCTTTCTAATTCTTGAAGAAGCAAATCAGCTGTGCTGTAACATGCTGCTAAAGCCACAATCAGTGCTGATGCTTAAACTGGACTCTGACTGTTACAAACACTGGTGAGTTTCTGGTCTGGCACTCTGCAATGGGTTCTTCTCTGGATCTCTCTTGGTGATCCCATCAGGTGAAAAATAGTCTGTAAATTATATGATTCAGAGGACAGTGTTAAGTTCATCTTTTTACTAAAATATCTTTGTAAGGAGAAGAATTCTGAGTCCTGCTGGTGCCCGAGAAGATTAAATTTAACCTTCCATTTTCTTGATTTTGTTGGTTGAGAGGGAAAAGAATAGGGACTGAGTTTAGTAAACATGAAGAGACTCCTGACACAAGTTATAGGAGCTGAAGAGCTGTTCTACGTGCTTTATATTTTATCAAATAAAGCAACATGGGGTTCTACCCCCAATAATTACATCTCATGTATCATATAGTTGTAGAGATGACATTTTAAGTATCCAAGTGAAGTCTGAAAAATAAGGCAACAGAAGATAAATTGCAAGCACAGTGAAATTAGTGGGACCGTGCATACTCATTTCAGAAGCATTTACATCAACCAAAGTCCAGCCTTATGAAAGCTTTTAGGCACCTTACACATTTGTCAGTGTACACTAGCAGACATAAACAGAAACAAGTTATCCTCATTTTGGTAAATAAACAGAAGTATTATTCAGAAATGGTAAAACCATGTGGGTTTGCCCAATATTGAGGGTTAAGTTGACAATGTCCCAATTGCACTTTAAAGGTTATTTCTACAGATAATCCCTTTTCCAACTATGTGTAGAAATACCGAGGAAATTCATAAAAGTGCCTCTGCATAAAAGTAAGAGTAGATTCTAAATAATATGCTATCACTCCAGGCAATTGTCTGAGGTGTCTTTTATTTCACTATATCTATCTGTTGTCTTTTTATATAAGAAAATTTTAATCATTAAAAAAATGTTCCCATGCCCTTAAACATGTAATAGCAACAACTTTTTGTTTTGAAGCAGAGATGATTGCATGGTTGTAACAAAGAAACAAAAGTCTATTCAGCTCATGGTATGATAAAGCCTGCTGTACTCACAGCCAGCTTTATGAACCTTGGACACATTCAAACCTCACTTAACAATAGATTTGAGTTTGTTAACCAGAGATGCAAAGTCAACAAGTTTAAATCTTCCCTGAAGATTAGATTACCCTGCTTTTGGGTTCATAAATACCTGGTGAATGGAGCTTTGTGGTTGTTACGGCTGATTTCTTAGGGGATGAGACAGCTGGTCTATTAGCATCCTGATCTTTTTGTACTTCTTTCTTCACGCCTGCTTTAGGAAAAAAAAAAGGTAGAAAGATATCTGTTTTATAATTCTATTCACAATTGTGTAGAGCTTTGTTACCAAGATACATACCAAAATAGCAAAATATTTCTTCAATATGCACCCTGGACTTCACACAGAATGATGCTACACAGCACTTCTGTGTTGGATGCCAACCTGCCACATCTGCAAACGTGGCTGTGTACATGTGGTTGAGCTGACATGCACAGCACTAAAGAAGGATGAAAGAAGGCCTTACATACTACCTTGGTTTTTCAGCTATCTGCACGGTGACAAATACCACTAAGGCACAAATAGCTACATAGGTAGCCCATCCTATCTTTACTGAGTTCAGTGCTCTGTCCCTTTACCTTGCTGTGCATCCTCATTCTGGGCTGCAGGAGAAGCTGACTGAAGTTACCTGCAGGTCCCTGCTTTATGAAATTTTTCCAAGGTTAGGAAGTTGCCTTTTCTGGTGACCAGCTTTCCCAAGATGGTCTCATACAGGCAAGAGAGAGACTTGAACCAGAAGTAGGCAGGACGTGTCAGAGCTGTGCTGGATGTGGCTGCCCAGACATGGGAGAGTGGGTTTCTGCCTGTGCAGTAAGTCAGGCAGAAACAGAGGTTTGCAGCACATGCAGTGCACAAACCTACAAGATACTGCCAATGCAAGATTCAACTGGGCATGGAATTTTTCAGAGAGGCAACTGAGTGTCTGTTATCATTCCTTCTACCACTGGAGCTCTCTAGTTAGGGCCTTGGGAGGGTCTGTCAGTCGTCAAAGTTATGCACTCACCGACTGCCTCTTGTACCAGGGAGATACCACTTCATCTGAATGCCAGAGCGGCCACCCACGCTCAGCTCAGCCCTCCTGCCCACCCACAGCTCCCATCAAAATAGCTGTGGGGATCATGCTGAGTGCAGTAACGTGAAGTCCTGCCCTGCTTGTTTGACCATGGTGTGACAGTCACAACCACAGTATTTCAAGCAGAAAACACTCATCAAGGAAGTAAGAAGAAAGAGTAATAAAAACCAACCCCCTGAGACATTAATGTATTTTCCTGTTTACTTTCCTCTGTTTTACTATTACTGTTTCTTGAGGGTTTCATTTTAGCTGAAGGACTGCGTCACAGCCCCTGGATACACATGAAAAATAGAGAGATCTAAAGGCAAATGATTCGTCATAAAAGAAAAACAAAGTCTGCCTTATTAACTTTCCCTTCTCTCATGAGTACGTTCACAGACATCTTATAGGAAAATGTTCCACAGAATCTGAAGTATCTGAGGCAAGAAAAACAAAATTTTATTTTCTTGGTGATGCCTAATGACAGTGGCAGTCCAAAAGCTAACACTATCTTCCATTTTGTTTAATGCAAATGTGACCTGTCTATTTCAACAGTGGAAAAAAAGTGATAATTTTATATGGGGATCATAATCTTCAGGGACACTTACTGGATTGCTAGTTTTATGCCCCCCCTCCAAAGCCACAGCTAGTCATACTTGCAGTATTAAGTTTATTTCTGATGCATTGTTCACACTTCCACTTCTGCCTGCATCAGGACTTACAAGCAGTGAGCTGCAGACACAGCATTTGACATGCACCAGAAGCTGAGCTTCATAATTTCCAACACTTAATTGCAGAGTGCTTCTGCAAAGAGCACATGGACCTGCACAAGCCTTGTGTCCAACTGTTCTGTGGGAGGGTGGCATGGGACAAGGTCTAAAACCCTCTTTGACTCTCTTCCACTGTTCATAGGCAAATCACACCATCAGTTGTCACGGACCTGGTAAAGACTGAACTCTTCCTCATACCTCTACTTTTGTCCATCTCCAGTTTCTCTGCTGTTTATAAAGTCAACATGTTGAGGCTATGATTCTCATTTGTGATTAATACTTTTCACAGTGAAGTGACTGTGGATATAAATCACCCGTGTATGCTACCTATTGCACTCTACTTTACCACTGAGCAGGACATAAAATAAGTTTATTGCTGTAAAAGCAACCTGAGATGGGAGCTGTGAGACAAAACCAGAGCTTGTTTTATAAGGCTTAGTTTATGTAGTTACAGATTCAAGCATTGCTTTTTCATGGTAATGAGGCTTTGGCTTTTCTGTGGCTTTCAAAACAAAATTATGATGCACAAATGGGCCATAGACTGAACTCCTCCACAAATTTTGCTATGGCAAACAGAGACAATGGTAAGGGAAAGTGTGTGCTTTCCTTATGCTTTCAGCAGCAAAGGGTATGTAAATAATTAACTACTTTTGTTTTTGAGACATTTTCAGTGAGGAACACCTGGAGAATTTTTTTAGCTTCCCCCCCCCACCACTCCCTCGCTTCCACCTTAATCCCTAAGTGAGGAACAATTCCCCAGTTAGAGCTTGGCTGAAGGAAAACAGAGCAAAGAAACAAAGAAGCCCAGAGAGCACTATTGTTTTGCACAGGGCAAGGCAAGGGGCTGTGGAGAGCAGTGATAGTTGTATGTGGGTACAGAGGGTGCTGACCAGCAGGGGCAGCTGCATGAGAGACATCCACTTCAGAAGGTCGGAGACCAGTAGAGAGAAGGTGCAACTAGATATCTTGACAAGGACAGAAAAGTAGGATTAATAACAAGGAGGGGGAAATAAGGATAACTGCCCTCCTTCACTTTACCAGACCAGGAGAGCTTCTAAGGTCTGGTAGGGTGGCAGTGCAATGACTGGGCAACTGAGGAGGAGTTGTGCAGCAGGGGAAGAGCCAGTGCCTAGCACATCGTTGCTTGGAAAGGGCCAAGGAGAGGGACACATGGAGCTAGTAATTATTCAACTTCTCCTTCATAAGTAGAAGGGCCCTGGTGTCCTATCTGTGGCACTCCTTAGATGAGAGGGATTTAGAAAGCACACAGCAGGCAAGAGAAAGGATGGTCTGCAGGAGCAAACTGTTATCATTCTGCTAAGCTCATCACCCACAGGGAAATTTCAGGGAAAGAGCCATCCCTAGCATCTGACCTCAAATAAGAGCTGAATGTTTTTCTGAAAATGGGGGTTCTTCTTCTCTCGTCTTTTGAAACAACAGTTGTTAGTTGGTTAAAAGAGAAACATTCAGAAAACATGTTGATTTCAAGTGAATTTTTGTCATTTCACAGAAGTATAGAATTTCAGGTTCAAAAAATCTGAGGAAGAGCACTGGTGCAATGATCAGTATTATATGTGGGACCACAGTAGGAGGTTATATAGTCTGATCTTTTCTAGCTTGGAGTGCACTAGAAGTTACTCAAAGGCTAAAATGCACATAAAAAGTCTGATGTTCCACAGTAACTCAGGAAACAAGACAAACATTTTAATTGTTATTACAAGCCTGAATGCATGTAAAACCTCAAATACTACTCTGTAAAATATATTTTGAAATGTCAGAAGGTGTTGTGTATGCAATGATAAAATGAAATAAAAAAGACAAAAAATACAATTACAAAAGGAAATAAGCACCATGAGTGTATATTTCTTGAACTTGCACACTGTTTTAATTTTCTTCTGAATTCGTCTTTTAAAATGTATATTAACTGACCTGGAAGAAAATTTACTTCAAACTCTTAGTGTTATTGCCCACAGATTTGAAATATGGAACTCCAATTATCTCTGTGTTAAATGCCTGTACATTAGCTTTATTCCTTCTGGCTGCATACTCAGTGCTCTTAGCAGAGAGCCTCCCAGCAAAAAGTTCCTGGCAAAGCAAGAACCACCATTAAATTCCAGGCCTCCTGGAACATCTTCCAAGGCCCTGCCTAGCCCCTCGACTACAGGAGCTCATGCAGCAAGAAGTTGCCTCTCTGGTAGCCAGTAATCAAAGCCACAAACTATTAATTTTTGCTTGAATATACATTTCATTTAAGATTAGCAATCTTCCAATGGTTCATCTCTTTTAAAAGCTATTTTTGTGTAAAGAAATGGATATTTAAGGCCATAAGATAACTGTTGAGCATAAATACTCGCTCATCTTGTCTACTAGTGTGCTTGCAGCATTTGCTTCCAACAAATGCGTCCAAATACACAGTTCCATAAAGGTATTTACATTTCCTAATTAAAACACACAGCCTGCTTCAAACAAAACAGAAGGAACAAATGCGAAATAATTAGAAATACAAGGCAAAACATTCCAGAAATCACTTGGAAAAACTGCAGACAAACAAAGCCATTTCTCCATTCCCCCAGCACTGCTAAATGCTGGCCTAGGAACCAGAGCAAAATACGCCTTATCTGAGATATCTTCTCAAGCACTGCTGCAGAATCAGCACTTGTATTTGTCTGCAGCTTTCTGAGTCTTCAAAAGCCAGTATGGTGGGATAGGCTTCAATTTGCTTTCACACTTCAGACTGAAAACATGCTAACAATTTGCACATTGAGTATTTATTTCAAAACAAGTCCTAACATGCTGTACACATTATTAACAATTTGATGGGACTGACTACATTCAGATGGATTCCAGCTGTTCTCAGGAGTATTTTATAAGTTAACTAATGCAGTCTGCAAGTTTAAAAAGAAAAAAACAAGGAAGGGTTTGCAGTCACTCATAGACAGAGAGAGCCTCCCTGAGCTTTCTTCTGCCCTTCCCACTGATACTCACGACTAGTCATGTCCTTGGTGAGTAATAACATATCTCTGCGTGTATTGTTAGAGACAAAATGAGTAAAGTTGGAAGTATGATGGATTCCGTAGAATACGAGCAGTCTAATTCTCTCTAGAGACTCTCTCCTTCCTGTGATCTATGAGACACTGAATAAATAAGCAGATGTAGAAGAACTATGTATTTACTGAAGTAGAAACTGCTAATGCTTGTGCTTTCAAATTTAAAATCAATCTGATGAGAAAAAAAGATCAATTACTATTTCATTGTCTCATCTGAAAGTGATTGTTTTATGTCTTTCAAAAAGAAAAAACCTCTTTATCTGTTATTAAAAAAAAAAAAAAAAAAAAAAACCCTCCTCACAAAACGAATCATTCTTTCTTTGGAATAGAAAATCTCAGGGTAATTCA